AGGAGCTGAGGAACGGACAGGCAGGTCTAACAATGTAAACGCACTGGCTGACGACAACCCACCACCCACAGACCGAAGTCCCTCAGGGCGCGGAGTCTAAGTCCCCCAGGCTGCCCTTCACCAGGGCCCCTGAATGGGGGATGGACTTGACGCAGCCAGGAACCAGGTCGCGGCCCCCGAGACACCTCAGCTGCGGTAATGGCCGCCGCCAATGGCGTGTAGCATGGTGGAAAAGAGACAAAAGAGTAGTCAGACAAGCCGGGTCAACAACAACAGGACAGAACAGTAACAGGACAGCAGACGAGAATCACAGGTCACGAGCCGGGTTCAGCAACAGTAGGGTCAGATCAAACAAAGGAGAATACAAAGAATAGTCAAGACAAGCCGAATCAGATACCAGGAGAGTCCACGTTTCTGAGTCAGAACAGAGTTAACAGCAACACAAAAAACACAAGACACAAGTGCAAAGAGCATGTGCGGGCCACAGGCTTATATGTCATCAGCCACACCCCTACTGGAGGATGGACCACAGAAACCTGAAGGCATAAAAGGGCTCCCATCATGCACAGCAGAATCCAAGATGGACACCAGCACATGAAGTAACATAACCACAGGGAAAAGGTAGGAACCTTGACAAGGCCACACCATGACGTTCTCTCCTTTTATCCCCATAGCAGCCATTGATGCAGAGGTATTCTTTGCAGCATGAGATGGTGCATTGTCATGCATGAAGATGATTTTTATTATGGAAAGCATAGTTTTTCCTTCTGTACCAGGGAAGAAAGTGGTCAGTCAGAAACTCCACATACTTTGCAGAGGTCATCTTTTACACCTTCGGGGGCTTTAAAGGGCCGACCAGCTCTGTTCCCATGATTCCGGCCCAAAACATGACTCCACCACTGCCTTGCTGACGTCCACAGCCTTGGTGGAACAGGGTGGCTATCCACCAACCATCCATTACTCCATCCATCTGGGCCATCCAGGGTTGCACGGCACTCATCAGTGAACAGGACTGTTTGAAAATGAGTCTTCATGTATTTTTCTGCCCAATGCAGCCGTTTCTGCTTGTGAGCATTGGTTAGTGGTGGCCGAATAGAGGTTTATGCACGGCACAGTTGTAAGACTCTGGAGGACTCTACACCTTGATGTCCGTGGGACACCAGAGGCACCAGCAGCTTCAAATATCTGTTTTTGCTGCTATGTAATGGGATTTTAGCAGCTGCTCTCTTGATCCGATGCATGGATCTGGCAGAAATCTTCCTCAATGTGCCTTTATCTGCACCAACCTGTCTGTGCTCTGAATCAGCCACAAATCTCTTCATAGTGCGATGATCACGCTTAAGTTTTCGTGAAATATCTAATGTTTTCATCCCTCGTCCAAGGCATCGAACTATTTCATTCTTTTCGGCAGCAGAGAGATCCTTTTTCTTCCCCATATTTGCTTTGAAAAATGTGCTCTGCTTAATAATGTGGAAACAGGGCTATGACAGGTCAAATTCTACCAGGGGCGTACTGACCATTGGAAACTCGGGCACTGCCCTAGGGCCCGGGGTCAGTAGGGGGCCCCATGAGATGCCCCTGGTCCCTTTTTATAGGCTTTTTTGAGTTTGAGCAAGGACACAGGGGCCCCATGATCCCCTATTGCCCGGGGGGCCCCATGAGTTGTCAGTCCGTCCCTGACTTTAACCATTTGCCTACAGAGCACTTTCACCCCCTTCCTGCCCAGGACAATTTTCAGCTTTCAGCGCTGTTGCACTTTGAATGACAATTGCGCGGTTATGCAACACTGTACTCACACTTCACACAGCTTTCTTTTGGTGGTATTTAATCACCGCTGAGTGTTTTATTTTTGTACTATAAATAAAACTGAGCAAAAATTTTGAAAAAAAGGTTCTCTTTGTATCTATTATATAAATTTTGCAAACAGGAAATTTTTCTCCTTCACTGATCTGCATTGATTAGGCTGCACTGATGGGCATTGATGAGGCTGCACTGATGGGCATTGATGAGGTGGCACTGATAGGCAGCACTGATGGGCATTGATGGGCTGCACTGATGAGGCGGCACTGATGAGCATTGATGAGGAGACATTGATGATGCACCACTAATATGCAGCACTGATGGGAGCTGATTGGCGGCAATTATGGACACTGATAGGCGGCACTGATGGGCATTAAAAAACAGCACTTAAGGGCACTGACTGGCAGCACTGACTGGAGGTAATCTTGAGCAGCACTGCTGGGCGGCACTGCTGGGTACTGATGGGTGGCTCTGATGGCAGCACTGCTGGACACTGATGGGTGGCTCTGTTGGCAGCACTGCTGGACACTGATGGATGGCACTGTTGGGCACTTTTGGGGCTGCAGTAATAATCAGGACACTGATAATCAGTGCCCTGATTATAAGTGCAGATGTCTTCTTTGACACTTGACAGTTATCAGCAGTTCTTTCCTCACCCTGTGACAGAGTGAGGAAAGTGCTGCTAATAACCAGCAACTGTATTTACCCTGTGATCAGCTCTGTCATTGGACACAGCTGATCACGTGGTAAAAGGTCGCTGTGATTGGTCTTTTACCATGTCATATGATTGGCTGCATCCAAAGGACACAGCGATGACAGACAGGGCCGGGTGTGTTCTAGGAGAAGGCCATCATATGACGCCCTCCCAGAACTGGAGAACCGCGCTGTAGCCATCATTCGGCCATAACACGGTTGTAAAATGCTTAAATATAACGTGCAAAAAATACCTTTTAATGCTGTCAGTAAAAATGGGGAAAGGGAAGGGATTCAGTATTTTAATAGTAGCAGCAGTAATGGCAGTTTAAAATACAACTGGGCAGGGCTGACACCATTTCTTGTGATTTCAGTCCACAAACTCCTGTGTGTTGTCAGCCCACAATAGGAATTATGAGCTGAGTGCATTTCTGGCAGGATCAACAAGTATCTTTCTGCACTTGCAGGGACTTTAAAATGATAAAACACGGGGAATGTGCACACATTGCAGAGATGTACTATATATATATATTTTTCCCTGACATTCACTTTAACTACAGCGGTACCTTCTGACCAGTCCAACAATAACTTATTAACAAATACAAACTCTACCAGAAATGTTGGATATCTCTCCTTCCGGACACGGGGCACATTTCATAGCAACATTTATGAATTGAAGATCCAAAAGTTTTTCGGCTGCCGGGTAAACAGGGATCTGAGCATCGAGATACCGGAACCTGAAATCAGATATTATTATTTTTTAATTATTATTACTATTCCATTATATCTCATGAGACCATACAAACTAAAAGTTACCGACAGAAATAAGGTTCAGGTTTGTCTCTACCATGGGTACAAGGTGAATTCTTCAGGTCTGAAATCTTTTCAGGGGGCAATATTTTGGGAGTTTTATTCATTTGGGGTGTTAATTGATTTCCATTGTACTGTATGTTGATATGGCCTCTATTTTAGATTAAACTGCTTCTTTTGGTGCAAGGCTTCCCTTTAATAATAGAGAGTTGTGGCTTTTATGGGTGGTATTTTGAGGTTTTCATCATTTCTTTTCTTATTTTTGTATTCTTTTTGTTGATATGGCTTTACGTTTAGGGTGCTCAAAGCACAAAATTCACTTGTTACTGACCTGATCTGTTTTTGGGGATAATTTTGTTCACAGCACACTGCTACACTGCTTAAAAGAAAAACAAAGTGCAAAAACAGTGTGCACCTAAACCACCTCACATGAAATCACTTACATTCACTGTGCTCCCTATCCCTGTAGCTAAAATGAATGTTAGGCATACACAGATTAGGCCTATTATTCCTGATAGAACTGTTCTGCTTCTGGTCAGGTTTACACTGCTGTATCCTCTTCAGTATCTTAGTTCTTTTAGTAAAGCATTTGCTCCTCGTCTCTAAAAATTAGGGCCTAGCCTTGCTGGTTAACCTCTTCATGACGGCACCTCCTGGCCCTTTAAGGGGTTTCAGACTCCAGGAGGTGGAGCAGGGTTTTAGCGCCATATGACCACCGTGATTCGCTGTCACGACGGTCACATGATCGGCCATATGAGATCAGGACCTTTCCGTGAGACACCAACGTATGTGCTGGGAGCGCACAGGGCACGCGCTTTCAGCACATATGTGTTTTCAAATGGTACGCAAATATGCGGCCACTCGGCATCAAGGCCCACTCACCGAGAGGACCCATATTTGCATACAGTTGGCGTCAAGGGGTTAAAGTTGTCCTGCTTATAAGACAGGGGCTCACCCATTCCCTATTATTATTGCTATAATAATGGAGTCATTGCCACAAGTGATCACAACACATCTGGGTAAACTGGACATAAAAATGGGGAATAAGGACATAAAACAGTTGTTTGCTGATGATGTGATCCCCATGCTATCTAGCCTAGATGTTTCACTCACAACTGTCCAATGTATGCTCTGTGGATTTTGTAAAGTTTCCTACTATATATCAAGTGAAAATAAATTATTATTATTATTATTATACACAGGATTTATGGCGCAAATAGTTTGCTCAGCACTTTACAATATAAAGGGAGACAATACAGCAACAATACAGTTCAATACAAGAGGGATAGGAGGGCCCTGCTCTTTGGAGCTTACAATCTAAGAGGGAGGGGCTGGTGTTACAAAAGGTAATAACTGTGGAGGATGGACTGGTAGGAGGAACAGAAAATTCCATTATTAGCTGAGGGCAGGATAGTCTTCCCTGAAGAGATAGGTTTTCAGAGATCGCCTAAAAGCGGGCAGAGTAGGCAATAGTTTGATAGATTGGGGTAGAGATTTCCAGAGGATGGGGGAGGCCCTGGAGAAGTCCTGGAGACGAGCATGGGAGGAGGAAAACAAGGGAGCTAGAGCTCAGGAGGTCGTGGGAGGAGTAGAGAGTACAGTTTGGGTGATATTTGGAGACAAGATTGGAGATGTAATTTGGGGCGGAGTTATAAATGGTTTTATATGTGATTGTTAATGTTTTGAATTTTATTCATTTGGCAATGGGAGGAGCCAGAGAGGGGTGGAGGGATCAGTGGCAGAGAGGGGTGGAGGACACTGAGTGGAGGTCAGTGGAGGGATTGGCAGAGAGGGGTGGAGGACACTGAGTGGAGGTCAGTGGAGGGATTGGCAGAGAGGGGTGGAGGACACTGAGTGGAGGCCAGTGGAGGGATTGGCAGAGAGGGGTGGAGGACACTGAGTGGAGGTCAGTGGAGGGATTGGCAGAGAGAGATGGCAGATATGGAACGGTTAGTATGGTGGATGAGTTTGGCAGCAGCATTCATGATAGACTGAAGAGGGGATAGCCTGCAATGAGGTCGGCTGATGAGAAGGGAGTAACAATAGTCAAGGCGAGAGATAACCTTGGTGACGGGGTAGCATTGGCAGCTTGGATAAAGTATTGATCTTGTATTAAGTATTGCACTTTGGCTCTGCATCATCTGAATAACTCTTCTCTATCCCATGATAGGTAAATGCCTGCAAGCAATATCCATCTGTAATATCGCCCATGCCATGTATGAATGCTAATCCACCCTGCACTGCTATATGGTCATCTATACGGCTTTTAAAATCCACCTCTAACTGAAACTGATTCATAACTATCAATGTTCTTATTGGTCATTCTTACTGCTTCCAAAATCTCTAACTCCATATTACTGTGGTGTTTATTTTGCAAAATAAACTCCACAAAGCCCCTAATTCACTCCATGGTCATCTCTTGCCTCGACTACTTCAACTCCCTCCTCATTGGCTTACTTTTTTTTTTTTTTAAAGAAATATTTATTGGGTTTTATGTCAACAAAAGAAAACAGTTACATCATTTGCACGGTGTTACATATAGGGCAGATAAAATGGCATTAGTGACTAGTTAGGCATTACAGATGGTGTACATATAGCATTGCTATGTTCCACTTGTGTGGTGGAGTAAAGAGGCCGGATTTTACATCAAGATCTATATATTTCCACAATACATCATACAAATGTAGAAGGGGGGCGTAAAAGAAAGACAAAACCAAGGAGATACAGTAGAGGGCTTAAGAAGAGGGGGGGGGGGGGGGGGGGGAGGGGGGGGGGGGGGGGAGAAAGAAAAGAAATGAGCTAGAAAAGGAGTGAAAAAGGAATCCTCTGATCTCTGACGTGTGGAATTAGAGAGGGATACATAGAGGCATACAAATAAATATATCCGAAACTTCCAGTGGAACATCTAAATAGCAAGTTGTTGAGCAACTCCTTGAAGAGGAGGGAGAGGGGTAAATCCTAAGGACCTCACTGGCCTCACGCTCATAAGACAGGTTAACATTTAAAATGTAAAATTTGGACTGGTTGACCTCCGTCAAGCAGAGCGATCTCCAGACCAATAATACTTTAATAACTACATTGACCATACATTTTAGTCAGAAATGGAGACAGTGTTCTGGAGGGGGGTGTAGGTGGAGGCAGGACCTGCCATAGGATTTTCCAGAAGGCTTCTTTGTTCTTTGTCCAGATAGAGAGAATGTTCTTGATACATATATTTGCCATTTTCAATTTGTCTGATTTGTTTGGACAGGATGAGAAAAGAAGAAGGCAGAGAAGATCCTTTTTGATATCAGATACGGTTGGTGATGCACCATCTACTCAGGATGGCTCGCCTTGCCATCAGGAGGCAAGTAGATATCCAGGGCTTGTTTTGTTGAACAAGTGAATTGAGGTCTTTGTGAAGCATGAAAGGGGTAGAGTCCAAATTGCCAAATAGTAGATAGTAGAGGGAGGTTAACTCCTGTCACAAATTTGATTATTATTATTATTATTACATTGAGTTTATATAGCGCCAAAGGGTTTGTTCAGCGCTGTACAATAGAGGGGGGGGCAATACATGAAACAGTACAGCAACTACAAACAGCACACGAGGGGTTAGAGGGCCCTACTCTTTCAAGCTTACAATCTAGGAGGGAGGGGGTAGTGGTACAGGAGGAAGGGGCTGTGGGGGATGGAGTGGTAGGAGGAATGAAGGAGAACGGCTGTTAGGAGAGGGTGGGGTAGGCTTCCCTGAAGAGGTGGGTTTTCAGGGAGCGCCTGAAGGTGAGGAGGAAGGTGACAGTCTGATGGATTGGGGTAGTGAGTTCCAGAGGATGGGGGAGGACCTGGAGAAGTCTTGCAGACGTGCGTGGGAGGAGGAGACCAGGGAGCAAGATAGAAGGAGGTCCTGTGAAGAGCGAAGGGTACGGGTAGGGTGGTACCTGGGAATCAGGTTGGTGAGGTAGTTAGGGGCAGTGTTGTGTTAATGGCTTTGTAGGTCAGAGTGAGTAGTTTGAATTTGATGCGTTGGGCGATAGGGAGCCAGTGGAGGGATAGGCAGAGGGGGGTGGCAGAGGTGGAGTGGTTGGTGAGGTGGATGAGTCTAGCCACTGAGTTCAGGATGGTCTGAAGCGGGGAGACCCTGCACTGGGGTAAGCCGGTGAGGAGGGATTTGCAATAGTTGAGGTGTGAGATAATCAGGGAGTGTACGAGTAGTTTAGTGGTGTCTGGGGTAAGGAAGGTGCGTATCTTGGCGATGTCGTTTAGGAGGTGAGTGATGCGGGGTGAGAATGTGGGGGTGAGGGTGGGGGGTGGAGAGGTAAATTTGAGTGTCATCAGCGTAGAGGTGGTAGTTGAAGCTGTGGGAGTGTATGAGTTTGCCAAGGGAGAAGGTGTAGATGGAGAAGAGAAGGGGTCCAAGGACAGAGCCCTGGGGGACCCCAACAGAGAGGGGGAGGGAAGGGGAGGTGGCACCATTGTAGGAAACGCTGAAGGAGCGTCGGGACAGGTAAGAGGAGAACCAGGAGAGAGCGGTGTCTCTGATGCCAAGGGAGAGTAGTTTATTAAGGAGGAGGGGTGGTCAACTGTGTCAAAGGCCGCGGAGAGGTCCAGGAGGAGGAGGACAGAGTAGTTGCCTTTGGCTTTGGCGGTTAGTAGGTCGTTGGTGATTTTGAGGAGGGCGGTTTCGGTGGAGTGTAGGGGATGGAAGCCGGACTGTAGTGGATCAAGGAGGTTGTTGTCAGTTAGGTGGGCGCTTAGGCGGTCGAAGACTAAGCACTCAAGGAGCTTGGAAGTGAGTGGCAGCAGGAAGATGGGTCTGAGGTTGTTTGGGTCAGTGGGGTCCAGGGAGGGCTTTTTGAGTATGGGGGTGATGTGCGCATGATTTAGGGGGGAGGGGAATACGCAGGTAGAGAGGGAGAGATTGAAGATGTGGGTGAGGGAGCGGATGAGGGAAGAGGGGGGTGACCGGAGGAGTTGAGAGGGGATAGGATCCAGGGGGCAGGTAGTGAGGCAGGCTTCTGAGAAGACCCTGGTGACTTCCTCAGTGGTAGCAGGGCTGAAGGAGTGCAGAGCTGGGGGGGTTACGGTAAGCGGGGTCTTGGGTGTGGTGGGGGGGGCAGTGCGGTTGCGAGGTCAGAGGAGGGAAGAGATGAGGGGGAGATGGGGGGGGGAAAACTAGGTGGGGAGGTAGATTGCGAATTGACTATGTCCTTACGGATTGCGTCAATCTTGTTGTGGAAATGGGTGGCAATCTCGCGGGGGGTAAGTGACGTACTGAGTGGAGGAGGGAGGGGGAGAGCAGGGAGTTGAAGGTGGAGAAGAGTCGACGAGGGCAGGTAGAGAGGGTGTTGATCAGGTTTTCGAAGTAAGCCTGCTTGGCGGCGTGGAGGAAGGAGGTGTAAGTGAGGAAGGCAGATTTGTAGAGGGAGAACGCACGAGGGGACCTGGTTTTGCGCCATAGTCTCTCCAGCACGCGACTGCGGTGTTTGAGGCATTTAGTATGGTCGTTCTGCCATGTTTGGAGCGGTCTAGGTTTGATGTTGCGTGTGGTTAGGGGTGCCAGAGAGTCTAGGGTAGCTTATAGTGAGTCATTGTAAGTGGTGGTGGCTAGGTCAGGACATGACAGTGGAAGGATGCTGTCGTGTAGGTGGTTGGCAGCCGAGTGGAGGGGGGCTGGGTGCAGGTTGCGGAGGTTGTGGCTGGTGATGGTTTGGCGCTCTGGGGGGGGGTTAGGGGAAGGGGAGATGGAGAACGTGAGGAGGTGGTAGTCGGAGAGAGGGAAGGGGGGGTTAGTGAAATGGGTACAGAGGTGGGAGAAGACGAGGTCCAGGGTGTTCCCATTGATGTGGGTGGAGGATTGAGTGTGCTGTGTGAGCGCGAAGGAGGAGGTTAGGTGGAGGAGTTGGGAAGTAGCCGGGTTGTTTTCGTTGATGGGGATGTTGACGTCCCCAAGGATGATGGTCGGTAGCTCAGAGGAGAGGAAGAAGGGAAGCCAGGCGGCGAAGTCATCCAGGAAGCGGGGTATGGATCCGGGAGGCCTGTAGATCACTGCGATACTTAGGGGGGTGGGGGTGAAGAGCCGGATGCAGTGAGTCTCGAAGGAGGAGAAGGTTAGGGGGGGGGTTAGGGAGGACCTGGAAGGTGCTCAGCGGTGATAGGAGCAAGCCGACACCACCACCTTTGTGACCGCTCAGTCTTGGTGAATGGGACCAGACGAGACCTCCATAGGAGAGTGCCGCAGGGGAGGTAGAGTCAGTGGCCTGTACCCAGGTTTTGGTGATGGCTAGGAGGTTGAGGGAGATAAAGAGGTCATGGATGGCGGTAAGCTTGTTGCAGACCAAGCGGGCGTTCAGGAGTGCAACCGAGAGAGGGGGGATGGATGCGGGGAGGAGGGGCACAGGTATGAGGTTGAGGGGGTTACGGAGGCTGGCGAGAGCAGGGGGGTCCCTAGAGGAGGGGTGAGGTGGTGAGGGGCCAGGGTTCAGGGAGATGTCCCCAGCGGATAGGAGAAGGGTGAGGAAGGTGGCAAGTGCAGGAGCGTGTGGGTCTGATAGTGGTGGCACGTGGGTCGACGGGGGAGTGGAGTAGCAGGAGGAGGTGGTGAGTGCCGTAGTGGGGAGAGGGGAGAAGTGAAGGGGCAATGTAGAGCTGTTTTGGGGGGGTAGGCGGGTAGATGGAGGCAATTTTTGGGATGGAGGAGAGGAAAATGAGGAGGAGGAGTGCAGGTGGCATGTTGGGGTGAGTGGAGTGCTGGTCCGGTCGGGGGAGGTAAAGGGATACAGGTCAGGGCAAGGTGATGTGGACAGTCTGTATCACCGTGGAGGAGTCCATTTGAGTCCTTCTGTAGGGGGAGAGTGAGAGTGGAGGGCAGCAGCTGGCTGGCTGCAGTCTGTGGGTGCAGTATGCTGGCGTCCGTGGGTGCTGCTGCACGTCTTCAGTGGGTCTGGTGGTTCGGCGAGCGGAGGGATCGTAGGGTGCGATGACTGGGGGTGTTGGTAGCACGGCGACTGGTGATGCTGGCGGCTCGGTGACTGGAGATGTTGAGGCCAGGCATCAGGTGCTGAGGGCTCGGTGTCGGGAGGCGCTGAAGGTGCTGAAGGGCACAGCATCAGGAAGTGTTGAAGGGTTGTCGTCAGGAGGTGGTGTGGACCGACGTCTGGAGGTGGAGTGGACTAGGCGTTGGTAGGTGCAGTAGGGCTCGGTGTCCGTGGGCGAAGTGAGCCAGTGCATGCAGATGTTGCGGGTCAGTGACTGAGGGTGCTAGGGGCCCGGCATCTATGGGAGCAGTAGGGCCTGGTGTCAGTGGGTGCTGAAGGCCGCGTGGCAGGCTTGACTCCGCCGGATTGGATAGGGCTCAGGGCTGTGTGGTGGTAGGTGCCTGGCCGCGTGGTACCCGGAGGGGAGCAGGGAGGCAACTGGTAGTGGAGGCTTACCCTCTCGGTGCGGGTGGCAACGTCTCGATTCGCTGGGTGGCCTGGAAAGGTCCCTGGTCCGTGGCTGGGTGCCGGCTGATGCAGGGTGCTGGGTGGTCTGAAGCAGCCCAAGGCTGCGGCAGGGTGCTGGGTGCAGGTAGCTGGGTGCCGGTAGCTGGGTGTCCTGAGGTGGTAGCTGGGTGCCGGTAGCTGAGTGCTGGGTGACCCTCTCGGTGCTGGTGGCGGAGATGAGGCGACGTCTCAATTTGCTTGGTGGCCTGGAGAGGTCCCTGGTCCGAGGCTGGGTGCCGGCTGCTGCAGGGTGATGGGTGGTCTGAAGCAGCCCCTAGGTGCCGGGTGCAGGTAGCTGGGTGCCCGGTAGCTGGGTGCTGGGTGTCCAGAGGTGGTAGCTGGGTGCCCGGTAGCTGGGTGCAGAATGTCCAGGGGTGGTAGCTGGGTTCCGGTAGCTGGGTGCAGGGTGGCCTGAGGTGGGACCAGAGCCGTTGGGGAGGGCTCAAGGGAGACAGGTAGGCCAGCGGGCTGAGTGGCTTAGCAGCTGGGAGGCGGAGCAGCGATCAGTGGGCCTGAGCTGGTTCCTGGTGGTCAGGGATGGACCCAGGGCTGGTGAGGAGGGCCCTGGGGAGGCTGGCAGGTCGGCGGGGATCGGGGGACGGAGCGGCGGCGGCCCGGGCTGATGCCCGGCGATCCGGTTCGGCCGCGGCTGAAATCGAGGCCACGGCTTCGGGTGCAGGGTAGGCCGCAAGTCCCGGAACTCCGGGAAAAGATCCGGTGGCCTTCCCTGGCCAAGCAGGGACCGGGGAGTCGTGGGGGCCCCGCTAGGGTCCGCTGCTGCCCAGATGGCAGCGGATTGGGGCCAGGGGCGCAGGAGCTCACCGCCACACTACCGGTCTGCCGGATGTCCAGCAATATAAAGATAGCACTTGGTCCCAAAATTTGTAGATAGAATAGCAAGTCCAAAATCTGTGTTTAAGGCTTGGTAGGTTACAAGAGCAGAGAGGACATTGAGTGGTGTTCGATGCAGATTTGGAGAAAGAGCAAGGCATGTAGGCCCGATGCATGATTTTCAATTGCTGTTCCTGCCAGAATTTGATCGTGCTGTTCCTGCCAGAATTTGATCGTAACAATGGCACATATGGTGTTAAAGCCTGCCAAAATTTGTTCCACAGTAAGCGAGTTCTGGAAGTCTTTAACCCATGAGGTCACAGATGTAGACTCTAAAGGTTTGGTAAAGCTAAGTGGGCAGTAAATATCTGAAATCTTGAACCGGCCTCTGCTCAATAGAGTGTCAACCAGTGTAGTTTGAAAGAGAGAAGACTTGTCAGGAGCTAGTGATTTAACAAAGTTAATTACTTGCATTGCATAAATAAAATGGTGTGAGGGTAAGTCCAGGCTCCCTAGAGTCGGCAAGATTGGTATAGGTTTGCCAGAGGAAGTGTCAAAGAGTTGTGACACAAGTGTAGGATTCTGGGCTTGCCATTTAACGTAGGCCGCGTATTGTTGTGGATGAGAGAAAGATGGATTACCATGAATAGGGAGGTAGCGGGAGACCCATGGGGATACTCCCTATTTGCGTCTGATTTCTCTCCAGGCCACCAAAGTGTTGTGTAAAAGAGGGTTGTTTTTTAAGGAAGTTGGAAGTTGATTTATATTGCAGTGTAAAATAGCAGCTAAGTTGTGCGGGTGTACCATGTCAGATTCTAGCTGGTAGTTAGAGTAAGTAGACGACTTGGATAGCCAGTCTAGACTGATGCGTAAGAGACATGCAAGGTTGTATATGCGAATGTTGGGAAGGCCCGACCCCCTCGCTCCTCGAGAGATAAAGTTTTTGCAAAGCTATGTGTGG